GAACAGTTGCAAGAATCCTACAATGTGTAATATTATGTACATATTACCACGTATAATATTATGAACATTGGTACATGATGGTGTCAATAATGAGATCAACATTAGGAAGTGTGCACCAATGTGTAAATGCTTTCACATAACGATATGGAGCAATGTACGAATAGCATATATAGGTGGTTTATTAAAGACACATGGTACGCTTAACACATTGAGGGTGTATGAGACTAACAGCCCCCCAGCTGTCGATGTGTCGTGGTTTCCCCGCCCGAAACTGCACGGGGTCCGAGTACGGGACCGTGGGAAAGGCTTATTCCTTGCTACACCGCCCAAAATGCACACGCGCGCACGTTGCATTTCGCCGTGCGCAAGTTGCATTTCGGGCGGCGTAGCAAGGAATAAGCCTTTCCCACGGTCCCGTACTCGGACCCCCGTGCAGTTTCAGGCGGGGAAACCACGACACATCGACAGCTGGGGGGCTGTTAGTCTCATACACCCTCAATGTGTTGAGCGTACCATGTGTCTTTAAGTTGGCAATGAGAGGATGGGCAGAAAGGTGATGCTAGATGAGCAGCCTGCGTAAATGACAAATATGATGTTAACAACATACGAGGTGTCCTAGTTATAGTGTTAGAATTGAACAGCGGTTATGCAAGGAATTAGGAACATTACATAGTGTCATAAATAGCTTATAGAGAGGAAGAGAAGATGGGAGAGCGTTGGGTGCTATGTAATTCTGGAACCCTCCCAGCGTCCTCCAGCGCCCAGCTTGCATAACATCAATTTGATGAGCTCCCATATTGAGCGCTTGTGTGGCAGCCCCCCCCTCTGAAAGAGTGAGATGTTATATTAGCATGTTTAAGATTGGCTTACTAATGAGGAGCATGAGCCTGTCCCGCAAGGTTGAGATGGCCAAAGGCAACCCCGTGGAGCCGGACTGAAAGAGAAAAGACGCCCCACCCAAGGTAGCAGTGTATTTATTCCAGAGCGCTTCCTCCATTGCATTAAAGCGAAAAGCTACCACTGCCCCCTTAGAGCACTGGTCCGTCTTGGATCTGCTTATATGCACAACCCATTCCCCGTTGCCATTGGGCTTAACCTGGGATCTGCGCAAATTTTGGGCCTCGCTGATCCTGAGTAGCCCTTTGAACTGAATGAGAGCTAGAGCAGCGGCTTGAGTAACTTTGGGGTCCTTGGTAGAGATACCTACGCTTAATAACCGTGCCATGTGACTGGGCTGAATCTTAGTACGATGCTGACGCGGGGGTGAACTGGCGCCTTAACCGCCTGAAGAAGGGAGTCCTGGATTTCTTTGTCTACACCTGTGAGCGGCCCACAGAAGTAGTTGAGCGCTGCTACGACGGTCGGCATGGAACTTAGCCTGCCTTCCGCCGAGCATTTCGCCAGGAAAAGGTTCCTGGCCTGTGGCATAGGGATGCTGCGCATGTAAGGGCTGTTTTTCCAGATTTTGAATCTCTCCACTTCAGACGTGTAAGCTTTGATCGTAGAAGGAGCTCTGTCCGAATTGATCGCATTTATTATGGCTTCGCTGATATGAGGCATTCCCAATTGTTCTGCTCTCACCCCCAGAGAAGCCGCTTCGTTGAAACGACGGGCTGCAAAGAGAAATTGAATTTTAGCGAAAAAAGGGGCGGGCGGGTGGGCACACCGCTCACGGTCAACGCAATAGCCTGGAATGACCATCCCAGGCTACCAGGGATCACATGCCATCTGACCCAGGACCACGCCCTTGCGAAATAGCGTGGTCCCATGGTGCATTGGGACACCATGTGATCCCTGGCACACTGTAGCAACTATTTCGCAATAGTTCAAAATATCACTTATACCTCCGATACTCTCTGGTATAAATACCATTTTGAACTATTGTTCAAACCAACCAACAGGGTTGGAACTGCAAAGCCGGGGGACCAGCCTTAACGTGCCGGAATAGGCGCCCCGTGCGCGAAATCGATTAACAGAAACACGAAAGGCGATAACGAAAATTCGGACCCGAAGGCACCCGGAAATTGAGGATTTTTGAACAGTTTTGTACCCACAGGGAAGCATACACTGTCCTAAAACGAAATCGGCCCACTGGGTGTCACTATTATTTGATGATTGGGTAAAAAGGCTGTGATTCCCAAAGCGGGCACCCCAAAATGCCTTTAGATCCATGCATTTTGGCCCATTTGAGCGTTTTTGAAATCATATTGATTGGTGGAACTAACCATAGAAATCCATTTTTCCACGGTTCAGAATGAGCGAAGGCGTCAATCCCTGAGGATCCTGGACAGTGAAATCTGGAAAAGAATATATCACATCGTGTATTTCTATCGTTGGCGAACATATCATATTGGGGCTCTCCCCATTTTGAAGTGACGGCCGTGAAAATACGGTCTGCTATTCTCCAGTCATCATAATCTATCTGGCGGCTAGCAAAGTCTGCCTCCTCATTATCTGATCTGGGAATCCATCTAACTAACAATTGGAACCCGTGATGTCTTTCTAAATCCCAAATGTTCTGTGCCAGCTGATGCAGGTGCAACCCTAAACTTCCCTTATTGTATATGGTCACCGAACTTTGGCTGTCCGTGTTGATCAACACACGATCAATAATTCTTTGTAAGTGTCCAAAGCAAAATGTATGGCAAAAAGTTCCCTGGGCTGTGCTGGACTCCCCTAGGAGATAATGCGGAAGTTCTCTAAATGTGTGCGCCAACTGTTATACCGTTGCTGTCACGCAGAATAGCTCCTACTGAGTGATCTGACGCATCGACATCTATTATATGAGATACGGTACTGTCCTTAACCTGAGGTATCAGAGATACTTGGGGACCTTGTCGTAACCTATTTGTCCAGTAGCGTAGCTCGAGGTGCTCTTCGCTAGTTTGGGCCATGCCTTGGACAGCGGCCAATCTTGAGCTTGCGCTGCCGCTATCTCACGAGATACTGCCCTCGTATTGCGTTTATCTACTATGTTCAAAACAGTGTGCAATGAAGACAGTGTTCCGGCCCAACGTAATCTTTCATACAGTGAAGGCTTGAGGAGCGAGCGCATCACATCGAGTCGGTGCACTGCCTTGGCCAACCTCTCTGGCGCTACTGATATGGACATAGCAGATAAATCAATATTAAAACCTAACCATGTGCACGATTGCGAAGGGTCCCATTTACACTTGTCTTCGGCGAAGAACCAACCTGCCCGCTTGAGGTCGGACCGGATAATAGACACTGTTTCTGCACAGGCTGCTCTCGATCTTTCAAATATAATACCATCATCAATGTAAATAGCGATTCCCCTACCCTGGGCTCTCCATACCTTGATGAAACTGCGGAGCAATTTAGTGAAGATGTAGGGTGCGGAAGACAATCCGAAAGGTAGGCATAAAAACTTGTAATATTTATCCTCCCAGTGAAATCCTAACAGGTCTGTGTGGTTTTGTGCAATCCGCACATGATGATATCCGGCTTTGAGATCAAAAGTAGCCATAAAGCCTCCCTCAGGCAAAGCATTAATAATGCTACTGATATCATCCAGCTTGATTTTTGGCACATGTAAGAACTTATTCAAATGAGATAAGTCTAATACCAATCTAAGCTTTTTACCTTTGGCCTACTGATAGAGGGTGAACATGAAGAGAGTTGCAGGCACCGATGGAAACTTCTTGAATAGCTCCGGTCGAGAGAAGCTCTGTAATTTCTTTATTCACGAAGTCTTTGTGCATGAGAGCTGACTTTCTGTTGCCCGAATTCGCTGGTTTCGACGGGATTGAATATAAGGGCAACGAGTACCCGTTAAGCACTGTGGTCGAGACCAGCTTTGAGGGCTCGAGAGCCAACCATTCCGTATGGAAACAATGAATCGAACCAGCTAAAAACTCACTAGTGGTTTTGCGGGCATTCTTTGGCCCAGTGGCCTTCTCTTCCGCAACGGTTACAGGACGACTTTCTTCTATTTTCCTCCTCTTTGTAGAAATTACGGAAACTCCCTTGTCGAGCGCGTGGGAGGGATGTCACGCCCTGCATAAGAATAGGGCCTGCGATCCGCATATGGCCTGCTCCAGTATGAAGTTGGCGGGCGACGGGCGAAGGAAGCAGGGCGCCATGCTGCTTCCTTGCCACGAAAGGGCTGCGGTGATGATGACTTTCGTTTCCTGCTGCCCTCTTGCTCCTTCTTCCTGATAGACTCCATAAACTCACTAAGTCGGGGGTCCATAGACTTGAGGGAATCCGACTTAATCTTGCTATCCAGAAATTGGAATACTTGCGGGTGGGAGTCCGCGATTATGAGTGTTTCATTTCTCACAGCTAGGTCCTGGATCACATCACTGATGACAGTACTACATTCTTGGACATTCTGCAGCGATGATAACTTGCTAATGATGGTATTATTAAACTCATACTGGTCGTCCGAATCCTTCTCGCTTGAAAGTGTGCGTCGTAGGTGCTTTAGACGTTGTCGGTGTTTCCGATTTAACTGCTTGAATTATTGATTGTATATCTCTCGGGTCCAGACGAATAACCGGCTCCAATAGTTCTTCCTCGAATATTTGTTGTTCCGGCGGTTGATAGGGTAGTGGCTGCTCCATTTCCTCTTCTTGAATAGGAATATCTCTGTTGGTAGGCATTTCTGACGAAATAAGTTGTTGAGGCGAATATCCGATGCAAAACAGGCGAGGAGCGAGAACACACCGCTCACGGTCAACGCAATAGCCTGGAATGACCATCCCAGGCTACCAGGGATCACATGCCATCTGACCCAGGACCACGCCCTTGCGAAATAGCGTGGTCCCATGGTGCATTGGGACACCATGTGATCCCTGGCACACTGTAGCAACTATTTCGCAATAGTTCAAAATATCACTTATACACTAGCACACTAAGCACCGCCCCCTGGCCACGCCCACTTTTGTGTTCTCCAAGGAATTTTGAAATTTCTTCCGATTTTCGCTTTTGCAGGCCGTAACAAGTGGCCCACCCACTAGTATAAGCTCCGCCCACCTTGTACGAGCCGCGCCCATTTTAGGAGACTGTTCCAAATCGACAGGTTAGAGTCCGTACTGGCACGATATGGCCTCACCCGTCC